AAATTTATGATGCTTTTCCTTAATTTTATTTCTTAAACTCTTTGTGAGCCAACCTGGTTTTTTTTACTTGCAGGTACCCTTTTCTTTCTATTAGGAATATGTTTACATTGAATATTTAAAAATTTTCCATATTTGATCAGTGTCTCTAAATAACTCAGCTGGCCAATTCACAACAGATAACTCTTGTTGTATCCCTTCAAAATTTGCTTTATTGAAATTTGTAACCAAAATATCATTATTCCTTATCTCCATATGCAGCAAAACATTGAACCTAATAGAGCAATGATCAATTACTCCCAGATGTCCCCCAATTTCCATCCTCTCAATCATTTCTGTATTTGAAGTTAACAATAAATCCAAAATAACATTATTTCTAGTTGGTTCCTTGACTAACTGGTGAAGAAAACCATCCTGAACAGTTTCCAAAAACTTTTCTCCCTCATGGTTTGATTCTAGAATTTCCCAATCTATATGCCTGAAATTAAAATCACCCATAATTATGACTTCATTAACAGCTGAAATCTTAATCTCATAAAGTTTCTCACTAATTTCATCAGTATCATTTGGTGATCTGTAACAAATTCCCACTAAAAGTTTTTTCCCTTTATATCCACTAATAGAAACCCAAATGGATTTAATGTCTTTGCTATTGTCTTTGATATCCTCAACTTCAACAGCACGTAACTCAAATTTTACCTATAAAGCCACTCCTCCTCTCTTCTTTGATACTCTATCCCTATTAAATAGCCTGTAACCATGTTTTAGTTATTCCCATTATATCAAAATTCTCCATTCTTACCAGTGCTTTAAAGTAATCTAATTTATTTCTTATACTTCTAGCTTTACAATAGTGACAATTAAGCCTATCCTTATAACTACTTCTATACTCATTTTCTATGCTAATCTTTTCTCTGCCTCTTATTATTTTTGCATTCAGTTTTTCCTGGCCCTCACCATTGTCTAGTCCTAGTTTAAAACTTTCCTTACAGCTGAGTTAATAGCTCTAGCAAACAAGCCAGCCCCTACTCTATTTAAATGTAAACCATCCATTACAAAAAGCTCCCTTCTCCCACTGAACTGATCCCACAAGTCCAACCAGCCAATCTGCTCATCCTCACATACCAACCTAAGCCTAGCATTTAGCCCTAATGACCTACTTATAACTTCATCCCCACAGCTAATTTTAGGAAGTATCCGTCACAAAATTAAGTTATGGCCATTTTCTTTAAGTGCCTTTATCAACCCCATATACTTATTAATTAGCTCCTCTGACCTAGCTAACTAATTAGGTAAGATAATGAAAAAAATAAAATAAAAATATTCAGGAGGTATACTTGTGAACTGCACTTTCACCAAGTGATTTATAACTTGTGTGGTGGGATTATTAATTAGATATGGTTTAAAAGACAATAAAACAATAACATTAAGTATAAACAGATTTATACTGTTAAAAGTTATAGTACGGAAACTGAGGATTACTTTGTGGTTATGAACTTGGTCGTAGGTCATAATGACCGAGCCTGTAATGAGAAGGTTCATTTGCTCCCTCTGTGTACTGCTTTGTCTCATTCCTGTTTCACTCTTACATGACATTTTAGGAAAAATAATTACATTCTCTCACCAGTAAACATTTATTGCATCATTTATTGAACCTTTACCTTCCAAGAACCTTACAGTCTACTAAAAGGTAGCAGGAGAGTTTCCGGCCCTTCTGAAAAGAAATGGGATGGGATCCTACCTCATCCCTCCCCACTTCAAGCACTGATTTTATGTATATATATATTTTATTTTTTGTGCATAATTGTATTGTAGTTGTGTGTAAGAAGTGATAACAATGAATCCAGTCAATCCATTGAGTCCACCCATGCTTTTAATAATACATGGTTAAATATAGCTTTTTATATACTTATACTTTTCCCAATGCTACCAACAGAAATCTTTGGGCCAAGTACAAATCTTTTACTTGGGTTCCCCTCTGAGCTGTTGTTTTTTTATACACATGAACAAGTAATGCATTAACATAAATTAGTTAATTTATTCCCCCCCCCCCCCAAAAAAAACAACATTTTCCTTAGTTTCATCAACTAAGTTTACAAAGCTGTAAGATTTGAAGTAATCATTTCTAGCTCTAATCTCTTGTAAACATATTTCTTACCTTTGATTTTTTATCTGATTTCAGGTCTGTATTACGTCTTGACAGGAAGAGGACAAAGAATTGACTTTGCATGGTATGGTATTTAAGATAATCATAAAACAACAGTGTAGTGTAGTAGTCAGTATTATTGTTAAATTGTTCTATCAACACATTGTATGTCTTCAAATTTCAAGTGTTTTAAAATCTTCGAAACATCTGATTTATCAGGTAAGTCTGTTCAGAACAGTCAGTAGTTCCTATCAATTAGAAATTATAACAAAACGGTAAAAAAAATCAAAACTAGTTTTATATGATATGACATTGCAAGTAGATGGAGATTATATAATCTTCTATATCTAGTATACTGCTATATTCTGACCTTTGTTAATCTTTCTGTTTTTCCAAAGTATAGGAGCCCACATTCACAAGGGATTTCTTAAATGATGTTTTTGCTCTCATATAGGCTACTAACCATGATACTGTATTGCCACAACCTTAGTGTAAGTACCTAATGGCATGGTACATCCCTGGGATCTAGAAAGATACAAATGTAAATTAGATGGGTACTCAGTAGAGCACATACCTTTGCCACACAGCATTGATCATATTCAGCCCTAAAAAAATATGCAAATGTATATGTATGTCCATCATTATCAATAGATGTGGACCATTTTGGCAAAATAGTGAGGAGTAATATTCTATATGTCCACCAAGTTTCATCAAAATCTAATCATTTTTGAGTTATAGAACAAAAATAGTGTGAAAAATCAGTCCCCATTTTAACAGGTAGGGATCTTTTTATGTTTGTGACCTCGACCTTTAAACCAATCTTGCTGACCCCCCCCCCCCCCCCCACACACACACAGGTGAAAAAACGTAATCTCCACCACCGAAAGTGACAGAGGTAATTAGCTGAAATAGTAACCTTATTACCTTCCTCCATAAATTCAGGTTGTATAATGTAAAGGATTTAAGGTCAAATTACCATTCAACGTTCTGTATTGTTAAAAAGTATCTGAAACCTTAAATGCAAGGGACAAAATAATTTTAACAGTGTACATCTGAAGATACACAATACAGCAGGCAATGTAGACTGTCAAGATATGCACAGTTTTTCAACTTTCATATCAACATACATACTTTTGTACTAAGGAAATTCACATGAAACTAATTTCATTTATCAGTTCTCAAAACAAAAGCCTCTAAACTGTCTATACCTAAATGTGCAGTAATGAATTTAAACTTTAAAGAAAACACCACAACAATTCTTCAAGTTGACCAAGGTGATATCACTACAGTCATGGACAAAGAGGAGTACACCATCAAGCTTCATATTCTACATTAAAGATGGTCACTACGAGAATATCTAGTCTAACCCAACACAGAAAAAACTTAACAACTCAAGAAATGGAAAAGTACAGAAGCAGAAACAAACAACAAATAACAGTTGTTACACAACCACAACACCACCTAAAACATTTATGGTCCACTGAAAATTCCCAAACATGGCTCAACTCAAGAAATGGAAAAGTACAGAAGCAGAAACAAACAACAACTAACAGTTGTTACACAACCACAACACCACCTAAAACAACTATGGTCCACTGAAAATTCCCAAACATGGCTACCCTATCCATCCCATAATTAACTGCAAAAATTCACCATGCCATTTTTTAGCCAAATTTTTATGTAGATGTAATATTTCTGTTAACCAGTAAACATCTTCACATGTTAATAACTCAGTCCACTTTGTAGAAGTTATAAAAGCAACCTTCATAACCTAACAAGACACAATGATTATCATCAATGTATCCAACATTTTCTAATGATCTTCACTCACCTTTCTGTATCACCACAACCTTTCACATGAAGATAAGTACTACTAGAACAAGAAAGCCTAGCCATGGGTTCATTCCTATCACTAGTACTCAATATGGAACAGTGTGGAGGTAATGCTCTCAAAACAGCTACTCTAAGATACAGAATTTAATTGATATATTGATGAAATGTTCATCATATTATCCCACATGCTGCAGACAGGACTATGAATCATGAACCATATAAAAAAACAACTCTAGAGCTATATATATAGTTCACAAAACAAATAGAAGAAGGTAACTTCTGTTTCCTAAATTTAACAGTTACTTAGATGTTTCCAGAAAATCCATAGATACTGGTAAGTATCTTGATTATAAATCAAACCACCTTAACAGTGTAAAGAAGGGTGACATAGACTGCCTACAACACACGTTCACAACAGATACTTTGAATCCTTTATAAATAATATAATAGAGAAGACTACACCAAGAATAAGTGGGAGAGACACATTTATGTGTTCCCCTATTTCAAAGGTCATTCTGAAAACACAGAGGATATACAAACAGCATTAAGGTAGGATAATAACCAAAAGCCACAATACAATGGCAAAGAAACACACCATTTACAGCTTCTTTTGTGAACGTGGATTCCAATACCTGGAGAACCAAAAGGATCAAATAGTCAGAAGTTATGGGCATAATAGATACACAAGACTTGGTAATACTGAATTATTATGCAAAAGAAGAAGACCAGGGACCTTCCTTCTACTAAAGATCCACAATATTTACAAAATAAACCAATATTGTAGCTTAGATTTAAACACTAAAGGTGATGATCAAATAAAAAAAGACCAGAATTTTTTTTTATATTTATAAATAATGGACAATGTTAGTTATTATTGCTATTCATGAAAAAATAATAGTGCCTTATCACTAATCATCCATTAGTACATTAGAACTTTTTCTGATAAATAATTTGCACAAACTTCTTTCAAGTATATTAAATATTTCTAATTACCATCACCAATGCACTGCAGGTAAACTATGTGTAGGAAATATAAATAATAGGGATTGCAAGGAATGTCACAAAACCCTGATAGAATGTTTGGGCAAAAAGCACCTTAAACAGTAATGATTCAGTTCAAACAACACTTTAAAACCTTTACTATTGACTGCTAAGACTGTACACATGTAAAAATGCACAAAAAAGTATCCTTGTTAGACTTACAAGGAAAAATAAATCTGCTCAAAATGGCCTGTTTGTAATTCTTCTTCTTCTTATTATTATTATTCTCTTGCCAGCCTACAACACAAACTTGGTATATTGCACCCAAATCTTTTGTAGAATACTAAATAAGTTATTGCGAAGGTTGTAGGGGTATTGAAAGATCAATTTCTTTCTTTTATATTTTAAACAAGTTAAAAACATCATCATTCTAGTGTAAACAATGTTATCATTACATTTTGAAATAAGCTTTCTTATAAATATCTGATGTTTCTGTAAAAACCTTAAGTACAGGATGAAACAGGAATTACCAGCCAATAATAGATGAACATCAGATGACTGTAATATGTACATATTCAATGCTTTGTACATTATACAGTCGTTGTCTTTAAATAGCCAACTACTTTATTATGTATAAAGTGAAGGATTTAAAAAAAAATCAATACATGTGATATTAAATTTTATTATATACATTTGAAGAATAATTACTTTAAAAGACACGTAGGTTTATTTAAAGCATTGTTTTAGATGTATATGTTTTATTTGAAAAGGCTACTTTTCTACTGGAAATATTTTTTTTTGTGCTTAGTGAGGGTTGTATTTTAGTCTAGGTATATAACTGCCCATTGCTATGCATTATATATAGAGAATTTAGTTACACAGAAACTATAGATGCTCACTATATTCTTAAACTCCTGTGACAATCTCCAGCTGTAGTTTAACATTTGACATTTTGAACTAATGTGGTCATATAGTCAACAACTACAGTAAATCATCATGAACCATATCAGCCAGCTACTAGCTACGTTTATTACCATTACAATCTATAAAGTTAGCTACCCTATCAAGTAATCCATTTCCCATAGTTGAGCATAAAAAAAAAGCCAGTAAACAAGATAAATAAAAAATTGGGAATTTAAAAACCTGCAAATAGGGATCGTAAAAAAAAAGTAAAGAAACAAGGCCAGAGATACTGTAGACATTATTTACTCAAACTACAAATCACTGTTTTAACTCCATCAAATGTAATTCTAGATAACACCATGGAGCCAAAAATAGGAGTTTGAGTAAATAATATTTACAGTATCTCCAGCATTGTTTGCTTACATTGTTTTTATTATCTGTATTTGTAGGTTTTTAAATTCCAAATTTTTTATTTACCATGTTATAAGATAGAATAACACAGCATCCCTATAAGAAATGCTAATATACCTTAGAGACCATTGTCAAATTTCATCAGCGAAAATTATCAAATATTGTTCTAGTATTCCAATTTTTTTACATAATTTATCAAACAGGTTTGCACTTATTTTTTATTTTTTTAGTCTCCTATATCAACCAATGTTTGATAATTATAATTTTTATTGGTAACAGTTATGAACAATCTCTAAGCACAGTACCTGTTATTGCATATTTTAAACTGTGATAACCATCAAATAAACCCAAAACTAAACTGCAGGCTAACAAAACATTTGTTTTTAAAAAGCATGCCACGATATAAAAAGAAAATAATAATTCTATAAGAACAAAAAATGCATATAAAGATTAATTCAACAGTAAACTAGAAATTACTTAAATAATGTATTTTTGGAAGGGAAGTTGGACAACAACAACAAAATCTTGATCAGAAGTAAAAGTATTATAACAGTTAATAATGGCTGGAGACGGCTTGAATGGGTAATGAAGAATGGGTACATTTGCTGTTATGTTAAACTTATATTAAAGTTTTTCTTCATTACCCATTCAAGCCGTCTCCAGCCATTATTAGTCTCAAGGTGGGTTCCTCGTAATCAAATTATAACAGTTAATTAATCCCTGTAAAATGACAATACTTAAAAGATAAGAAATAATTAGCAAACAAACATTAAATGAAAAACAGCAAAATGAGACAGTAAAACAAATATGTTTAGAAAAACATGTAGAACAATAAGTTAAATGTATTTTAGCATAATTATAAAAGCATTAAGCTTTAAAACAAATGTGTTAATATTAAATTCTAATTTATTTGTAAAGCTTAAATAGACTTCATCCATCTTTTTGTAGCTGGATTTAGGGTGATGTTTGATGAAAATCAAGTGCATTGAGTTTTTTAAAAAGCCCTATGAATTGTTTGTTATACCTTGATCTTGGTGATTGAAAGTTTAATTTATCATAGGAAATGATATTTTAATAACTATTTGCATGAGAGAAGTCACGGTGATATAATATTACTTAGTTATAACCTATAACACAGACCTGCAATGGTTGTTTGTTATAAAATTTTTACATGTTGTACAATAATTCCTGTATGATGAATCCAAAAATATATCCATTTTTCTACATCACATACAGATTTTTCACAAAACATCATAATGCAATACACAGAAGACCACAACACGTAGTTTTGAGACTAAACGACATAGATTTCACAAAAAAAATCAGAATGAATGAGGATACATATCCATTTGACATCAATGTTCTTACGTTTGTTTGTATTTTTGGTAACAAATATAATAATATAAAATATTCATTGTGGTAAACAAAATAATAATTTGTTGTAAGTAAGAGTTTTTCTTTTTCTCGATTTGTAAAAAATCTTTACGTGATAGAAAAGAAAAAATGTTATTTTCAAAATCTACATAGCTGAATTATGGAAAATCCATTATTAAAACCAAAACAACTTTTATAAATTTGCAGGCCTATATAATCTGATTTCAGTAATGATTGGAGAGGCATAAGAAGTTTTACTCGGGCCAGGTGGTTAGGGCGCTCGACTCGCAATCTGCGGGTCGCAGGTTTGAATCCCCATCACACTAAACATGCTTGCCCTTTCAGCCGTGGGGACGTTATAATATGACGGTTAATTCCACTATTAGTTAGTAAAAGAGTAGCCCAAGATTTGTTGGTGGGTGGTGATGACTATCGGCCTTCCCTCTAATCTTACACTGCTAAATTAGGGATGGCTAGTGCAGACAGCTCTCATGTAGCTTTGCGCAAAATTCAAAACAAACAAACAAGTTTTACTCAATAAAGTATTCAATAGTTTTTTTGTTACATGTTTAGTTACTAGACTTGGAATGTTATATTTAATACAGTAATGGTTAAATTATTAAGAGTATTTTTTTAAATGATTGTGTTGCAACAAACTGTTCTGGTAAATTATTATTATTATTATACCCAAGTGTGATTTTTTTTTTTAATATAATCCTCATAATTGTATATTGAATATTTATTTTGTTAACTTGTATAATGTTAAATGCTTAATATTTCTATTTCTATTGGATTTGGAACTATGGTCGTAGAAAAAGGCTGTCTTTATGGATTATAACTTGAATTGTGTTTATGTTTGAGTATCTGTTATGCTTTAGTATATCTTAGAGAAGTTGTTTCCAAACTTCTTTCACTGATGACACCCTAACCCACTTACCTTGGTTTGCATGACACCCCCCTTCTGGCACATGCAATTTTTTTGTAGTTTTTGTATATGGTCTCAATTATTCATTGTTTGGTGAAACTTGCAACACCCCTAGCAAGTTGACGTGACACACAGTTTTGAAACCACTGTATTAGAGTAAGTCTATTGTATAGTTTCTCAAGAAATGTTAACCAGCAATACATGTAATAATGTTATTTTTTAAGGCTCTTAGAAGGAAAATCTCGAAATCTTGTAATATCATTTTTTAAGGGTTTTAGAAGGAATATCTCCATATCTCTGGTGTGGACTCGGTATAGGATTTGCAATATCACTCTCAGTTGTTGGTGCAGCTTCGTAAGTATAGCAGATGATTTATATTTAGTTAATTTGATATTTGAAATTACATCAATAGTAAATGAACATTTTAAGAATAAAGAAATACTCAAATTTAATATATTTTTACAGTAAAATCCAGATATGCCTCTTTTTTGTTGTTAAAACGTGAAGTTATAGATGCTGATTTATTATCATGTATATTTTATATCTCCAAAACATGACTCACAAGTAATTAAAAATTTGCTCAAAATACGTACAATAAACTTTTAAAATTGTTAATAGATGTAAAGCACTCACCCTGTAATAATATGTCATTGGAAAGAGTGGAAGTTTTTACATGAAATAATATAAGATGCATGGAAGAAGTATTGGTTAGTACGTAGTGCAATGTTGGTGATTAAATCTTGTAATGGGTCAATGGCTAGTATAATAAAATATTTAGAAAATCAGAATGAAAACCCTGAAGGTAGAATTAAGTGCAACTTGTGTGAAAAAATCAGAGCTTCAGAATGGAGTACTTGGAAAACTGATCTTTTAATAAGTTCCAATATAATATATTCAGCCAATTCTTCACAACAACTTGTGACACAAGACAGGCAGGTGCATAACTCTTCCTTATCCCTTTCCAGATGGGTCATGGGTCAAAGGCCATGTCGTCATGTTTGTTGACTCGGATTCAAAATTTTATTAAACTACTATTTTATGAATTTATGTTAATAACTTTGGTATCAAACTGTAGATTATAATTCAAATTTTCGCATTATACATTATTCAATTTCTTAATTTAAAAGTGAATATTAAAAAAATACACTTAAACATTGATTTCTGTGTGTTACATGGTGAATTGAATGCAGCACTGGTTCAGATTAGATGTTTGTGATATCAAAATACTAAGTAATAGTTTTCTACAAATTATGAACTTAAATTACCAATATTGACAAGCTAGAATATAAAATACAAAACTCGTATCTTTTCTATTTGCTGAGATATTGCTCATGTACTGAATTAAACACAGTGGCCCCACCCACCTCTTTCCATCTTTGGAAACTCTCCCTTATATACATTTACTTCTGTATGTGACATGTGAATAACCAATCAAAAGCTCAGAATGTCCTCCTAATGGTTTTCTCAGCCATTTTCATGTGTTACAAAATTTAATTTTTTTTAGACCCAAGTA